TTTCACAATTTTTCGCGTCGCGGCAAGCTGTAATCAAAATCGAAAAAGTTTTGCAAGAGCGCTAAAACGAGGCGAAGACCCCACGCGTAATTGAGTGAAAAATAGAAAAATGTAAACTTTTTTATTGCTCGCTTGCTATCCGGCGTACGAAACGGGTTTTATCAATCTTTTTTATACTATTTGCTGATTTTTGTACGCAACGCTTACTATACTAAAAAATTTGTCAGTTGTACATTTCCTCTACAGATATTTAATTTTTATATTCAGCGTTGATTAGTTTGCCCATAACGTAGTAAAAAATTTAATGAAGTGGCAAGTCCGTCTTTGCGGGCGAATTTAAATGGCCAAAAGTGTATTAAGAGAATGGAAGAAAGCGCACGACAGTCAAGTTTAAAAAATTATTTCCTGTTCTTACTTGACTTTTGCAATTTAGAAAACGCTACCAATACTTTATTATACTCATTGCTGTTTTACACTATACACCACAAATTTACACAACAAGGATGCCATAGTTATTTCTTTTTTAAGTAAGGCAATCTTATTTTTTTAATATTCCATATGTACGTATCCCCACTATTCTTTGATAATTTTATAGGAATAAAAATACCTTTGGCTGACAACTTCACTGCAATAGCCTTTCAATAGCCTTATGTTTGGAATACTAACCAAAAACTAGTTCCTTTTCTGAACGTCATGTTAAATCGATCAAATAAATGGCATTTAAACTTCCCCGAAAAGACTTAACCAAGAAGAACTCAATGCTATGACGGTGCCGTCTGTCTCTCAAGTTGAAATAAAATTTTTGATCGTATGCAATACACAAATAGCAACCCTGATAGCATATTATTTTGCATACTTCACACTGCTATCGTGGAAAACTTGAAAAGTGTGAAAAAAAGACAAATTGAACACAAACGCGATTCAGAAAAATAAATTAATCGCGTTGAATGCGTAATTTAAAAACTTTTCTTCTGACAAAGATTTATTGTTAAAGGTAAGCAAAGAGAAGAAGAAATTAAGTGACAATAAAAGAAAACAAAATATGGCAGTGCAATACTCTTATAATATACTATGCAGCTTGACTAGCTGGCAATTAAGTAAATGATATGATTTGTATAATAGCGATTGATGAGAAGAAAAAATAATGTGTTACAATTGAATATCATATTAGAAAGTTAACTGGTAATATTCCCTAATTGCTTTTAAAGAAGTCTAAAGTACATCGTTCCGAAATGTGCACTTCTAATCGTGACACGGCATTTTTTTTACCAAGGTTTTCAGTAGTCCACTGTTTACCTAACGTAACATGTTACTATTTATGGCTGCAATTTTGGCAGACGATAAAGCATTTTCAAAAATCTGCTCAAGATTACGAACATATTCATTGGTTTGCCCAGAAATGTTTCTATTCTTGCACTTTCATCAGTGCTTATCAAACTTAGTGTGTACGGATGTGTCTGTTTTCTTTTTTTTTTTTTTTAATTCATCTTTTTTATTTGTTAATATTTTTTTTCTTGTTTTTTCAACTATTTACAGAGCAGCACTTGTATAATCGCCGTCTACTAACTTCTACCGCTGCTACACTACCCGCCCGCTTTTAATAATATTTCGTTACAAACACACTCACATACACAGACCCTAAAAATGTTTATCTGGGATTGGTTCACTGGTGTTTTAGGATATTTGGGTGAGTATAAACTAAGATACATGGCTACATACATACACAACCCTACATATTATTATTTATACATGTATGCTCAACACTTTTTCTTTTATTATTGACTATCAAGTTCATGAATGGTATTATTAAGTTTCTTAACTCGTAATTTGCCAGCGCAGCACATGAGCTGCACAAACACATTCATACACATGCGTATATATTCATGCCATGGCTTCTTTAATAAAACAAGTATGTTTATATATATATACATGTATATATATAAATATATGCGTATATATATATATATATTTATATGTATGCGTTGTGTGTTGTGTATGACCCGATTTTAAAACATTCGAAATCTTTTCACTTTCATTTTTTCAATTCTTCACTTTTTATTTCAAAACGATTGATTTTCAATATATTAAAAATTCAGGTCTGTGGAAGAAATCTGGCAAACTATTGTTCCTGGGTTTAGATAATGCCGGTAAAACTACGCTACTGCATATGCTCAAAGATGATAAATTAGCACAGCATGTACCAACGTTGCATCCCAGTAAGTAAAAAATTTGAAGAAATCCCGATGATATAATTTCATTGTTATTATTTTTCAAAAATATTCCAGCATCAGAAGAATTGTCTATCGGAAATATGCGTTTTACAACATTCGACTTAGGAGGCCACACTCAAGGTGAGTCGAACATGGCACTAAAGAATCAACCGCACTTTTCAAGGTGAAGAGGAGCTTTGAAAGAAGAAGAAAAATGCGCCTCGAAGATCTCTTGTGCGCATACTACACGCCTGACTAGGAGTATATACGATAAATCCTAGCCGCCAATTTAGGTTTTCGTAGTCATGACCTGGCAAGCAAACTTTACAATACCTACGAAGATAAATGGTTTTTACGTCTCCTCTCTCCCTTTTCCGCTATTTGCAATTTATTGATGAAGTAAATATTTACAAAGTTTTAGCACCGTTACGCTTGACGGCGCACGTAAAAACTTATACTTAACCCAAAGATCTCCCGTGTTCTCAATTAATACTCATAACATAATTTTATCCCATTTAGTCAAAATATGTCTAAAAATCTATGCCTGTCTGTGGGTCAAAAACTCATTTGCAGAGCAATCTTATCCCGACCGCAGAGCAAGGAGTTGTACGCGAACGGAGGTTAATATCTTTGCTGTGTGTTCGATAAGTAAGGGAATAAAACTAAATTGTCACAACTTCACCAGACTTGTATGAATCGGACAATTAGTCACTCGAAGCTGACTTGATCATATCTTAAATAATGGAATAATTGATTAAGCACAAATGTACCAAAGCACCCTTCTCTCGGTTGATAATAAATGTCTTTGTTAGTAAGTCGGGAGATACTAAAGCGTATTTTGTTACATAATCTCAGGTATAATGACGATAATCATTCCCGAATTATAATGGAAGAGTATAGGAATATTAATGTTATGCCTTAGCCGTTTAGCTTATGTAGTTTATAATTATAAACACACTTTTTGATTTCGCATCGCTGGAATAAATAATCGATGAATTTTTTTTTTTTTGTTTTTTGCATTTTTCAGCGCGTCGAGTGTGGAAAGATTATTTTCCTGCTGTTGATGCCATTGTGTTTTTAATAGATGCTTGGGATGGCGGACGCTTTCAAGAGAGCAAAGATGAATTGGACTCGCTATTATTGGACGAAGCTTTACGTAATTGTCCAGTTTTAATTTTGGGCAATAAAATTGATAAACCCGGTGCGGCCAGTGAAGATCATCTAAGAAATTTTTTCGGACTTTGTCAATTTACTACCGGGAAGGTAAATAAAAACATTAAAAAAAAAAAAAACTACTTACCGTAAATTAATTATTGAAACGTAAATTGTCATCTTTACAGGGCAAGGTAGCGCGTTCGGAATTACCTGGTCGTCCTTTGGAATTATTTATGTGCTCCGTATTAAAGCGGCAAGGTTACGGAGAAGGATTTCGTTGGTTGGCGCAGTATATCGATTAAGTTAATATTTAACTATAATAAAAAGGTTAATATTTAATTAAGACTCGTACGCGTTAATTCCATTAGCCAGCAGATAGAATGTGTTTTTTACAACAACAATGTAGCCATTTTCTATTACTCTCATCTTTACATAAAGTAAAAAAAAAAAAACAAGAAGAAGAGAATAAACAGCATCAACCTTAATGCTAATAAAAAAAATTAAGGAGAAAACAAAAACTAGGAAAAAAGGCGCAATTTTCCTTTTTTTTTTTTAATTTAATACTAAAACAGTAACTAGTTATATGGAAACGGTTAAAAAGTCCAGGTTCGTTTAAAAAAAAAAGTGGAACAAAAGTACTTTTAGGTTTTTGTCTTTATTTAAAAAGTAAACTATTTAATGCTTTAAAATCCACGGAATCTTCTCCTGGCTTCAGACTGCAATACCATAAGCTGTTAGGCTGGTATTTAAAAATATATTCCAATTTTTTTTTTTTTTAAATCTTTGATTTCTCCTGTGATGGTGTTTCCTTATGATTTGTGTCTAGTTTCTTCTATTTTTTTTTTTTTTAATTTCTTTTAATTGTAATTATGTAATATGGAATTATTATTTGTGTGTAAAAATTTCTATACAAATTCTCTAAAATAAATGAAAAAATAAAAATTTTAAATAATTTTTAAATCTTTTCTCTTTAATTTTTTGCAAAAACCATTTCCCACAAGCAGGTCTTGTAAACTTGGTGTTCTTCGCGGACATGGTGTACGAGCGAACTTCGAATTTATCTTCGAATTATGTTACTTTAGAGGGGAAGTAAATGAGCGGACTATGTCTCATAAGAAAAATAAATATTTTATTCAACGATATGAATGTTTATTCAGATCGTTTAAGCATATCTTTAAATGCTGTAGCAACATATAATGTTCTGTTAAAGTCATTCTGTTAATTATAACATAATTATACTAGAACAGCACTTTAAAGGCGCCTTTCATGTCTCATCATTGGTTGTTTCGTTTTTTGATTCAGTATAACTGTATATTCATTGCTACATTTCCAAGATTATTCCATTTGAAATCACCTAAATTCATTTCTTGCTGCAGTCGCAACTAATCAAACAATTTTCCCATAACCGTTTCATGTCCATACATGCTGTGGAGAATAGGGAGAGAGCATAGAGTTGCTTTCTAAACAACGCTTCGATAAATGAGAAATTTCCTCGTCCAAGTTGTTAAAGTGGCAGATATTTCCCCATCCGAGCTGTTAAATGAAGTATACAGTAGTATATAACACCTCATGGTTTCAGTGATGTAAAAAGTAAATATTTTCATTTCATTACCACAATTGAAAAAAGAAAAAATACAAACAAAATAAATATCCAATAACTAATATAATGTTTCTTTAAAAACTTTTAAGACATAACTTATCTAATTTTTATAAATTCTTTATTAGTATTTTTTTTCTTTTATTTATTTATTTTTTTTAATTTTAATACATTTACATCGAATCCTTAGAAAGGTATTTTTGAAAAGGGTTCGAAAACTTTGAAAAAAACTATTTTTTTCTTTTAATAATTTTAGAACAAGTTTAACTAAGTCAGCAGATATTAGCGATGGATTGGTCGGTTAAGCACTTTTTTTTAAACTTTAAAATAAGAGAATTGCAAAGAGAAGAGAAGAGAACATTTACTAATTAGAGTAGTAGTAGTAGTAGTAGCGCTCGTAGATAGTATCTGTAAGATGCATGATGAGTAATGAATATCGAACAAAGGCTGGTGGGATCAGGTCGTTTAGGCAGTTATGCGTTTAGGCACTACATATCCGTACATATACCAATTTATAGAATGTTAACTTCTGTGTTTGAGGTGCCAACACCAAAGGAACTTGTTTAGAAATTTGTCTTTGATCCATTTTCCTCTATTCCAAATATCGCTGCCATTTAAATGATTTCCTCTTTTATGGGTATGTTGACAGAGAGACCATCATGAACGTGAACTCATAGCTCCATCCATGCGACGTTTCTTTTTCTTTTTGGCTGTAAGACTCTCTTGACCACTGTCAGTGTTAGATGAACACGAATCATTATCATTGTTATTATCGCCCGGCTCACTTTCGCTGCCCGATGATGATGAACTAGAAGAAGACGAACTAGAATTACTCGAACTATCTGACGCAAAGCCCGTGCTCTGATCAATATTAATACTATCCGCAATTTTTGCTAATTCTGGTTCCTTTTCATGTAGCACACGTAACCATTTGCGTGACAATTTTGGCCGACCTCGTACAGTTTTATGCCAAACTACGGGAAAATTGGTGCGACTACAAAAGTTCTGCGTTATAGCAATGGTGTCGTCCAAATTTAGAACGACGTGCCACCAACCGCCAGGTACAAATACCGTTTCACCAGGTTTCTGTAGAATTTCAATTGGTTTATATTCATTTGGCCAGTCCGGTTTTCTAGTACGTGGATATGTAGTGCTAAACCATGTAATAGCTTCATCTTTTTGCTTCCCACCTAACGTAGACGATACTTTTAATAATTCTTTCGGCGTTTGCGTGGGAAATAAACACCATCGCTTATGACCACGTATTAACGCATTCCAAGCACTAGTGCCTAAGGGATCTATATGTATGCCAGTTCCAGATCTAGACGGTCCCATCACAAACCAACGATATGGTGGCCTACGATCTTCGCCACAATACTTAAATAAGTCGTCGCGAAAGTATTTCGGTACTACGTAATCCTCTAGCAATTTCCGGCGACGATGATGTTCGCCAAAGCTGCTATCAAATATATACAGTGGACTATCGTCACGTGTCGTTTGCATATATTCAATATAATACTTCATTTTCATTTTTACACTATAGCCCTCATTGTCTTCGCCGCATTTGAATTTCTGGTTACGATACTTTTTCGCCAACCGTGGCATTGTCCACTTATCCAAAGCCTGCCAACCTTCTTGACAACCTTCAATAACTGCCGGCAAGTAAGGCTGTTCATAACGTTTTATAAATTCTTCACAGCTGACTTCCTCTTCCTTAATGCGTTCGGCATTGTCTTCCACTTTACAGAATGGCTCAAAGCGTTCAGCGTAGCACAATGATGTCCAACCTTCCTTATCCAATTCGGGTCGTGCCTTACGCTTAACTTCACGAGTTCGCTTACGGGAGCGCTTTGGCAATTTAAACTCTTCACTCATTTTGTTAGTAATTTGGAACGCTCGTAAATAAATTTATTATTTTAATTTCTAAGAGAAAGACACTTTTTTTTCCTTTCGCGATTGTTCTTTTCTCAATGGTAGGTTTAAAAGTTGCCAGAAAGAAAATCAATCATCAAAAACAATTTAGGAAACTTTCAAAGCGAGCAGCTTTCATATTTAGTTAATGTTACAAAGTATATGTTAGTGCTTTTCAAACTTAAACTATGTACTTTATTTTTATATCTGGTAATACTAGTTTCGTTCGGAAAAAATGGTATCTCGTTTTAGAAAAGGTAGAGAATTAAATTTAATTATTTTTTGTTATTATTATAAATGTTCTCACGTGACTTTTACCTTTTCTAGATCTATACAACGCTCAATATCGTCTATTTGATCATCGAGTCTTTGTTAACGGAGAGGTAGAAGCTTTTCTTACTGATTTTGAAACCGAACGAAGAGATTCGGAAGTGGATTCATTATTCAAAGTGACAGAAAAGGTAGGAGCTTTGAAATATCAACTTTCCGATCGTTGTATATCGCAAAGCTTAGCTCATATAAATTCCCTGTCAACGGAGCTTCAGAGCGTGGCCGATAAAATTACAGATATACTTGAATCTGTTAAAAAAGAGAAACCGGTAAAAACTTAAAAACGCAAAAGCGCAAAAAATTTCGTTCTTTTAAATATTCTTAATTTTAGCCAAGTGAAGAATTGGTGCAAGCTCGTTTGGAACGTGCCAAGCGTCGCGACAACTTTGAAAGTGATTTAAAATACAATTATCAACGTTTGGACGTTTCTTTCATCACCAAAGAAGAAGAAATTGCGGAGCTTTATTCTGATTTGCAACTAAAACTGAATATACCCAACTAGTAAATCGCAATGACTAATGTTACAACTATCAAAGATACTCGTATTAAAGTGAAAATACCCCATAAGCTGTTGAAGACATTGGAAGATAACCGTCACCACATCCATGAAATACCGGAAGAATTAGCTAAAGCTTTGCAACAAGCAGGCTTCCAATTACCTTCCGAAGTGGAAATAATAAAAAATGGTTGTAAGACAGAGTCTCCTAGAATTGATTTAAAGCTATTAAAAGGCATACTTTCAATGGACAATGATATTCTTAAGGAAGCACAAAATGATGCATCTAAGGCCTTAGACGAAGTGAAAGAAGAAATCAAATCGGAAGATAATGCTCCAAATACGGAATTATATCTGCATTTAAATGAATTGCACTATTTAAGATATCTTCTCGAGCATTTACGTAAAGAAGCAGGTACCTCATTACATTTAAACCATCTTTTAGAAACGTCTTCATTGGAGTTACCTCAAAATGAGGTTATAGAACGGAATCCCATTTTAGAAGCTCGTTGTCAACGTCTAAGAAAAGAGCAAGAAAATCGGGAGTACGCTAAAATGACCAAAAATGTAGATTCCACTTATAAGCATTATCCCGAAGATACTATCGCCTATCAGAGTAAGTTTAAAATAAAAAAATTTACGCTGCAAAACGGTTCATAATATTTATTTGCAGTTAAAGCATTGAATAGTCAAATAATAGCTGTGCTGCAGTTTGTCTTCTCGGTAGCTGCAGGTTTTGTTTTCGGTTTTCTTGGCATTGAATTAATTATAGGGAACTTAGACTTTGGCTTACGTCTATTATTGGGCATAATGTTCGCTTTAATTATCGCTTTGGCTGAAATCTATTTCCTGGCTAAGAAACTTAATGAATATGACGATACAACCGAACTTTTTAATAGAGCGCCGCCCTCGATGGCAACAACACCAACAAAAACAAATAAAGTGCATACAGATTAGGCGAATATATTTAACAATTAAGTGTTGTGTTCATTGTTCATATATTATACTTATAAGAAAATAATCACATAAATATTCAATATTCGTTTATTCCCAATTTTGTAAAACATATAAAGAAATAAGACGGTTCTTGAAAATTTTTCAAAGCAAAGAATGTCTATAGGTTTCTTGATTCTTCTTATTAGCATTTAATAGAGAACTTATTCGTTCTATGGGTGATATAGTTTGGTAACTATGCACTTATTTGCATTTGTTAGGGTTGGCAATGCTATTGATCTCTTTAAAGAAATAGCAAATAAGTTTAGCTGCGATTTACAGGAATATAGCAGTTTACTAGTTTAATTATATTGCGCAATCTCGTTTGGATACCGCGTCAAATATTTTAGAAAAAAACAAGTAGCTTACAAAATGGTAAGTAATTAAAAATAAAGGGTTGGAAGATAATATTTAAAATTAATTAAAATCCTGCTTGAGTCTTCTTAAATAACACTCACTCTAGCATTTTGAATTTAAGGTATTTTGCTGAGGAGAACTTTTATTATTTTTTTATGCTCATATAGCCTATACAACGCATTATCTGTGGTTTAGGACAACGTACCTTGCCCTTTTTTAATAATAACAGTAACACATCGCAGATCGTACGCAAAATGTCTTCTTCGGTATTGGCCACTGAATCATCTACGAAGGGTAAAAGAGTAACAAACCAAACTTTTAATCCATTTTTATTTTATTAATTTCTCTATAATTTTCAACATTAATTAAAGGCATGATTATTTTAAATCGACCGAAAGCATTAAACGCCATTAATTTAGAGATGGTGCGGAAAATTTACAAACATTTGAAAAAATGTGAGAAAACCAAATCTTTAATGATCATCAAAGGAACCGGAGATAAGGCTTTCTGTGCGGGTGGTGATGTGAGAACAATTGTTGAATCCGGGCCGACGGAAGAATCGAAAACTTTCTTTCGTGAAGAATATACGACAAACGCATTGATAGGCAATTATAAAATACCATATATTGCCTTAATTGATGGTATTACCATGGGCGGCGGCGTCGGCCTTTCTGTTCATGGTAAATATCGCGTAGCTACAGAACGCACATTATTTGCTATGCCCGAAACAGCAATTGGTCTGTTTCCGGATGTCGGAGGATCGTATTTCCTGCCACGCTTACAAGGAAAGCTCGGGCTCTTCTTGGGTTTGACTGGCCATCGCCTAAAAGGTGAAGATGTTTTAAAAGCTGGTATTGCTACCCACTATTGCGATAGTTCGAAATTAAGCGATTTGGAGACAACGTTATTAAATTGTCCAGATGCTGACGAGGTACCAGATATACTTAACAAATTTAATAAACCATCGGATAAACTATTCAGTTTGGATCCGTTACTTGAAAAAATTAACAAATGCTTTGACGGTGAAAGCGTTGAGGATATAATTGAAAATTTGAGAACAGACGGTAGTGAATGGGCTTTAAAAACAGTAGAGGTAATTGCATGTTTTTGCTAAACTAATCAAAATTTACCAAATCTTTAAAATAATTCGAAATAAGCAAATTATGCAGGCTGTTTACTTATTGCGAATCATTTAAACTTGGTTTAAATGCATTGATGACAGCGTTTAAATTATCATTAACAATAGTAAAGAGTGTAATTGTATAAAAATCTAAGACGTAAAAGAAAATGCGTCGGCTTTGCATAATTTTAAATGCATGCCTTACCTGCATAGGGTACAAAGATCATTCTTGGATTAGTATATATTATATACAAATATGCACAAAACATTTTGAAATTCATTAATGTTTAGATATTAATTATAAATATAAACAAGAGATAATTTTAAGAACGAAATGTTCGCATGTAAACAACAGTATTACAAGGAAAATGAGAATGTGTTAATGAGTTTTAAGTCACGTTTAAAATTTAAAGTACGGAATATGGAGAGCGGTGCTTCTCAATTTTCACTGTTGCGGTAAATACTTTCTAAGAAAATTGCTAGTAACACTTTTCAGAGAATGCTCGGATTACTCTACACACTCTCTATACGTTGAGTTTATTAAATTTCTTAAATATCTGCAATGTAAAGTCGGGATAGAAGTATTAAATTATCAAGGGTGTCTGCCTTTTAAAGATCAAAACTAACTCATTTTATTTCTTCTCCATTTGCTTTCTAGACTCTTAGCAAAATGTCGCCGACATCATTGAAAGTAACCCATCGACAATTGGAATTAGGTGCTAAACTCTCACTGCCACGATGTTTGAATATGGAATATCGTATAGTTTTACGTCATTTGCAGGATAGCGATTTTAAGGAGGGCGTACGTGCCATGCTTATCGATAAAGATCAAAAACCGAAATGGCAGCCAAACACTTTGGAAGCGGTTACTGAAGAGCGCGTACAATCATATTTTGCTCGATTATCCGATATGGAAGAACTTAAACTGTAAATTGTTCTTCTTATGATTGTCGTAAATCGTTGTTTTCTTGTTGATGTTTTTTTTTTGTTCATGCACGATTTTACTGGCTATGAGGCCGGCAATCAAAATTGTTTTAAGTTTGCTGAATGTGAATGTGTGCCTGCACTTTTCCTTCATGCTATCCATTATATTTCCAATTTCCAATTGGATGTTGCTAAAGCGTTCATTTATGGGTATAAGCGTATAAGTGTAGTAGAGAGGGAGTACTACTATGTGTTCACATCTTAGAACATTCCACACTGGGGCGTTTTACATCCAATGAAATTGTTATTACATCCCGTTGAAATTGTTTTCATTGTATATATATATATACATACATACATATATGTATATCAGCGTAGAATTCATATAATATGCATACGCACGTTTAAATATTGGCACAACAACACTTTTTTGTTTAACTGATAACTGATATTTTTCTGAATGAGTTTTTTTGTTTTTCTTATTTGTGTCAATTTCTTTCTTTTTCAATCTTTTTTGCGTAAATTTACAGAGAAAAATAATCTGACATTGTTGTTGTAATGAAGAGACTGCCTAACAACATCTAGCTCTCAACTTTGTAACTCTGGCAAATCGGTTAAGTATATCGATATATATGTATATATCATTATTGTTGATGGCATTTAGTGAAATTATTGTGTATTGAAAATCAAAGTAAAGAAAGAATAAAATTAAGCTTAAGCGTAAACAGTTAGACATTATAAAACCATATACATTTTTATAAAGTCTTGCAAAATGTGCCAGACATATAATTTTACTAATTTATACATACATATATACATACAAATATAATTATATTTAATAAATGCTTATAAGATGAAGGAAACAATCGAAAGTGATATAATAGAAAAATTACTTAAGTTTAATACTTTCCTGTACCATGTCATTTAGTTCGACCAATTTTTCAATGTCAGTTGTCGTAAATCCCAGTTTTGATATTTCCCCAGTCCATCCTAAAACATCAACACGTAATTGCAAACGTATCTTGTCATCATCGGACATGATCGAGTTGCTTAATGATATGGCGGAAGCAATTGCACTACCACCAACACCACTTTTCAAGTTCTTTAAGCGTCTTAACGATTCTTCGGTTTTTTGCACCGAAGTTAAAACATCATTAACAACGTCCGTGTAGCTAAACAAATACCAAAAGATATTTCAATTAAAGCTTCAATATGTTAAGGAGATATACTCACTCCTTCGTTAGCTTATTTAATACACGTTGTAGAACACTCTTCACTACCTTCTCGCCAAGATTAGATAGCTGATCTTCGTTGAAGATTTTCAATGGCTTTAGTATTTGATCGACATAGTTCGAACAGCGCGTTGGTATATCGCGATTAGTTTTCCTATATAAACGGGGCAAATCGTTAACTTGTCGCACATTCTCCGCGCCGCACTCATTTATTAAAGTATCTACTAAAACATGTTCTATGGTAAATAAATGTTTCGTTATTGTTTCTTTGATATCGTTGAACGACTTTTCCACAGTCTCTTTTAATAAGTTCAATTCTTGTTGTTGGTCTTGTAGCTGCGTTGGTAAATTCTTCAAAACTAATTGAACTTGCTGCCCATTTATATGCAAAAATAAACTTTGTGTGTCCGCATATAAGGCCACTAGGAACGCGATTTTTTTGACTTCCACTAATGGCCAATTTGGCTGGATTGTAATTTGCAAAACATCAGCAATCCAATGCGAAAGACGCAACAATATCTGGATATGTAATTTAAAAAATTTTGGAAACACTTCTGGCAAATAAACGCCATTTGACCAACATCGGGTTATAGCCCGGATAGCACTGGAGAACGGCCTTAATTGAAAATGGTTTTCATCAACTTTTGCATTTAAGATATCCGCGCTCAAAACTGGCTCCAATGTAGATTCAAAATCACTGGCAATCTCCTAAATCGCAAATATAAGTAAACCTTTAAAAAGATTGAATTATTAACAAATATTGCGATCGTACTTGAAAACATATTTGAAAATAAACTGGTAGATTCCAACGTGAATGAAAACTTTTAGTTTGTTTATGCTGGCGAAAACCAATGATATTTTCCGAGTTGGCTAATAGCTCTTCAATTTTATTTAGAAAATCTCTAGTGCACTTGTATTTGGCAAAAAACACCTCCGAATTTCCGGGAGCGAAAATCGAACACATATGCGTTTCCAAACGCATTTCAACGTCAGCCCAAAAGCTCTCTACAACAAAGTTAAAGCCACGCACTTTGTCGGTATACTGAGTTAAGCGGAGTAAGTCAGTCATATGCAATGAAATGAAGTTAAGTATTTTACTATAAATACCGGCCAAACCTTGGGGTGTTTTTTGTAATATGTGCTCCGAGACAATGTCCGACATGTAAGGAGCCACAAAATCCTCTCTGAAAACTTTTTCCGCTAAAACGGTTGCATCTAAAGTTATATAAATGCGTAAACAACGTTCTAATGGCTCTGAGCAAGTGCTGTTTGCCGTACGCACAGTCTCACCGAAAAGAGAGCGTAATTTCTCATGAAGCGATGCTTCAAGTTTTTCAATACTTGTTTTTTGTTGCTCGTCTAAATATTCCGAGCAGAATTTTTGATTGAATTTCAGCTGAACCAATTCTAAAGCAGCCCTTTCAAGATCGACCAATTTCGGAGTAGAACTACTTAACTGATTAGTTAACAAATTTTCTAACTTACTGGTCGTTTCATGAACTTTCTTTAAACTTTGCAAATTTCGTTTCAATGCACGTAACTGACGTTTTGTTGCCAATCTTTGTTGAATATCCGCTATATTTGTTTCGATTAAAGTGTGTATGCTCAAAATTTCATTGCGAAATTGATCTAACGGTGTTTTTATTCCAGCGATAGATTGATCAAGACCAACCAAGTTAGCAGAGAGGCTTACGAAGTCAGCATAATCTTCATTGATTAAATCGATCATTGAAGCTCGTAATCTCTTCAAATATAAACCCAAATTGTCACGCAATAATTCCAAACTGGATACATTACGATTTTTATGTAAAAACTCATCAACCGAAAAGTTCGCCTATAAAATAGATGGAAATCAAAAATACATTGAGAAATATGAAAAATTGCAGACATTGATCACCTTTAAAAATTCATTTTTATCAAAACAAAGTGATTCTCCGGAATATTCCGTCGAATGTTTTGATTGGCTTTCAAGCATTTTATTATCCTTATTGTTGATAAATAAAAAAAAGAGAGACGACTTTTACAGTTTGCAAAATTTATTATTTACTATATTAATAATAAAGTTAATAAACGTTAACGTTGCCACTTCTCCTTAATTACTAATTTTTTATATTAGTATTGCCATTCTTTTTGAATGTTAAAAAAAAAAAAAAAAAAACATATCAAATACTTTTGATTTCTTACTTTGCTACGGGATTAATCTACTAAAGGAATAAAAAAATTAAATTAACCGGGACATATAACTCATTGGTACAATACACATCTTCTCCAGATCCAAAAAAATAAGAGAGTAATAAGAATGTCCGGCCGCAATAACGCCCGTAAACAACCAAAAGTCAAAGAAAAAGTGATAATAGATGAAAACAATCCCATGCTAAGAGCATTTCGAGCTTACAGCATGGAATTAGATGCCAAGCATGATCGATACGAGCGTATAGTTAAGCTCAGCCGCGATATAACAATCGAAGCTAAACGTATCATATTCTTATTACATTCCATTGATAGCCGAAAAGATAATAAGGAGAAGGTATTAGAAGAAGCTCAACAACGTCTAGAGAAAGTGATTAAAGTAAATTTCAAAGCTGTTGCTCAGGAAATGCAAAATTTAGATCCATACCAATACCGAGGAGCATACGCTCCAGGTTTGCAAGAATTTATAGAAGCCTATTCATTCATGGAATACATGAGATATACTGATGATAAGTCATCTAGCCTAGATAATGAAGCCTCAATGTCCGATTGGCAACAGTTGCAAGGAAAAATGCAGTATATAGAAGCGGAGGCAAACGACGAAATTTCTGCGGAAATGAAAGAAAATAAATTTTCGTTTCATGTGGAACCCTCTGAATATATATTAGGTATTTCGGATCTAAGTGGAGAGCTAATGCGCCGTTGTATAAATTCGTTGGGTAGTGGAGAAACGGATACTTGCTTGCTCATTTGTAAAGTATTACAGCATCTCTATAAAGGGTTTGTTTAAATATGGGAAAATTCACTTAGAAGATGACATTTCTTAGCTAAATTTTTTTTGTTTGCAGATATATTGGTCTAAGTATTCCCAGGTGCCGGGAGCTATCACGTAAAATCCATACAATGCGACAAAGTGTATTGAAAGCAGAAGATGTCTGCTACAATGTCAAAGTACGTGGAGGTGAAGCTGCTAAATGGGGTTTAGAATCTGAAAAACCTAATGTTGATATAGATGAAGGTTTCTTTTAATTCTCTAATTTCAATAACTTTTAATAACATTTAATAATAAACTTTATATATTAAATTAAGATGTATCACTAGGCACGTAATCGCTGTCATCTGATTCAGTACCGAAGGGATCTTCTTCGTCGCTTTCATCGTCGAAACTAGCATGATCATTCTGCGATGAAGCTGTTTGCGCACGTCGCCTCTTCTTTAATACATAATAGTTTTTGTAGTTATCTTCGACATTTACTAAAAATATTTACGGGGTTAGTAGATTTCATAGACTATTCGATAAAATATACGTACTATCGCTGGGGTGCTTGAATCGTTGATAGTGTAGAGGATTAAAGCGATAACAATTCTTGCCGTACTTACAATCAGGAGCATTTGCATCAGCTTGTGGTAATGGATGTAATTTAAAATCGTCATCACCTGGATGGGCCAATTCTAAACGATGTGATGGATTTTTTCTAAAATTGGAAATTTATTCTAAATAGGTACATATATGCGTTCATTTTTATCCTACCTGTAACACTTCACACCAAATGTACATGATGAGCGATTAACTGGTGTTGGAGAAAATTGTGATGGGGAGTTATCAGCATGTGCACTGTTTGTTGATTCAATGGTATTCATATTCATAAAAGAATATGACCGTTTAGACAGATTTTAACTTTCAGAAGAAGCTCAAACAAGAAGTCAAATCAGTACAGGAATATACAAAGTACACAAGTTTTATAGATTAGATTTGATTTCCGTTTTAATGAGAAATAAAATTTGTAAATAAATTGTTTTCTCATTAATCACCTTGCGTATAGCAACTCTGTTGTGTATTTAACTTGTTTATATACCTTGAACTGTTCTTAACACTGGCAATTCCTTAGTAATTAAAATCCTGATTAATTATCAAATTGGTGTATAAATATAATCCTGATAAATTGTGCTAATTCTAATTAGTAAGCATAATTAGAGTAAGAAATTAAAATTTCCATATAATTGTATCTTTCATTTTGGTTTTGTAAGGAGAATTTATCGGCTCGACGAGCAACTGATAATTGCTGATAACAACCTTACAAAAGAATATTCTATTCGTTCGCTGACTTTTGACACCTATCATATATATATATATATATATATATATATATTTTCAAGTCCAAAAAATTAACATTTTCCTCAACATGGTTGAGAAATTGGACGTGATAATTTTTGGTGCAAGTGGATTTACAGGCAAATATACAGTTTTTGAAGCGATTTCGGTTTTAGCGAACTTAAAATGGGGCATAGCCGGTAGAAATCGTATAAAATTAGAAGCCATACTTGAGGATATTGGAATTAAAGCCGGTAAAAATTTGATGAGTACACCCATTATAGTAGCCGATATCGATGATGAGTCTTCTTTGTTGCAAATGGCCCGACGCTGCCGTGTGTTGGTTAATTGTGTCGGACCTTATCGGTTCTATGGGGAGCCAGTTGTTCGAGCCTGCATTGAATCAGGCAAGATTTTGTTTTATGGTTTATGTTAATATTAAGAACGTTTACGTAACGTTTTTTATATTAATGAATACATAAAATTCGTGAACTAAATTATTTCTATAGGAACTCATCATGTTGACGTGAGTGGTGAGCCGCAATATATGGAAACAATGCAACTAAAATATGATCGAGAGGCACAAGAGAAAAATGTTTATGTTGTTTCTGCGTGCGGTTTTGATTCTATACCAGCTGATATGGGCATGGTATTCATTGAAAAAAACTTCGACGGTGTTGTTAATTCGGTGGAAGCTTATCTTCAATCTGATGTTAGAGGCGGGCCTCCAAACAGTGCTGCTATTCACTACGGCACATGGGAAAGCGCTGTCTATGGTTTAGCTCATGCCGACAAATTACGTGGCATACGTAGCCAACTATACACAGAAAAATTACCTAAATTTCAACCAATTCTAAAGCATCGTCCATTGATATTTCGTTCAGAAATAGTTAATGGCATTTGTTTACCTTTTCCAGGCTCCGATCGTTCTGTGGTAATGCGCTCGCAACGTTTCCTTTACGAAAAAGAAGGAAAACGGCCTATTCAAATGCATGCATACGTAGTATTTCGATCCTGGTTTGCCGCGATTTGTGCAGCGTGTTTTTTCCTTATGTTTGGCATGACGGCGAAATTTTCTTTTGGTCGTAGAATTCTGCTTAAGTATCCAAAATTTTTCTCGATGGGTTTAATATCACATGAAGGACCTTCCGAATCCCAAATGGAAAGAACATATTTCTCTTTGACTATGAAAGCTTTGGGATGGCCAAAATCGGAACGTACTTCAAATTCTGTTAAAGAATTTCACGATCCTCCAACAAAAACATTAACGGTTAAGATATCCGGTATTAATCCTGGTTATGGAGCCACTTGCGTAGCATTACTTTGCACCGCCGTTATTATTCTCAAAGAGAGCGAGAAAATGCCAGGAACAGGAGGAGTATTGCCTCCGGGAGCGGCCTTTGCAAAAACGTCATTAATCAGTGAATTAGAAAAACATGAGCATGGCATGAAATTCGAAATTTTCGCCAATAAATGAATAAAAAGAAAGCATAGATTTCATAAAAGAGGAAATGTGGTTTCAACACGATTTCGTATTTGCATTATTTTAAGCGACAGCCCAGCATTTAAACTTTTAAATTCTCAGTGAGGGCACCTAAACCAGTTAGTTGGTAACGTGATTTTTTTTTTTTTAAATAACTTATGCCACCTACAAATTGCATCGGAACTTGAAGTAGAGGCTATCGTCTTGTGGACATATTTATATGCGAATCTACGGTATAAGCTGTTCGAATGTTCATTGAGAGCGTGGGCTGGGTTTTCGACCAATAAGTTTTGTAATGCAGTGTCGTAGAACCTTCTTTGTGCTTCATGCCATTTTATTTAATTGCCATCGAAATCATAAACCGTGAAATCGCGGCAATTGTAGTAGTCGATTTATTTATATCGAACAACAAATATAATGCATATCAAAAATGCAAGTTTGAACGTTCAATGAATAGTCTGTATATACGGAAGACAATACTCAATAATGCTAAAAAGAAAATTGGGGGGTAATCACTTAACTGAAAGTTCTATTTTATTTTCGCATTCAGACATTTAGCAAAAAATAGCTGAAATCCTAAATGAGAGCTACATTTTTCATGGGTGATTATCTTCCTGCTAAAAATCCTATGTTGACAAAGATCAAAATTATCGAATTTAACCGTTAGAAGTATTGATACTTAATTTTCATCAATAGATGTCACCGAACAAAATCATGCAAGCATTTATTATTATTTCATTTGTCTTCTTCTTCCTTATTTATTTCATTTCTAGACTTAACATTGCATTATTGTCCAGTAGTGTGGCAACCTTGTTATTTAATGTCAATTAATTGCATAAAGTTAAATAATTTTAACTTCTTACTTCGCTTGGAAAAAATTGTTAAATAAAATTAAAGAGTTTTTCAAAATTTCTTCGGTAAGATTTCATTTTAAATTGCGTTTATGTATGTTACATATAAATAAATTTTCTACAGTTTATCAAATTAAGGCGGTGTATATATATATATATATAGTGTTGCTGTGATTCTATTTAAACATTTATAAAAATGTTACATTTACGAAATTTTAAACTTTTCCTGCCAGTAGTTAAAAAATATTTACGTTTTCAAAGCTCGGGGCGAACGGATTACTACGACGAGTGTGCGAAAAAACAAAATGTTGTTATTGAGCATTTACCCGAACGTGAAATGGTACGCCTTAAGGGCGATGATGTTATTGAGTTTTTACAGGGTCTTGTAACAAATGATATCACACAATTTCAAAAAAATCCGAATATTAACAGTATGTATGCGATGTTTCTAAATAAATCGGGACGGGTACTTTATGATACTATTTTGTATCGCACCAAGGATCCGGACAAAGTGCTTATTGAATGTGATAAAAATATATCGAACGAACTGAGAAGGCATTTACGTCTCCATCGAGTACGGCGCAAATTGCAGATAGATCCATCTCATGATGAATATAAAGTATGGGCCGTATACGATCCCGATGTGGATGAAAACGAACCCGAAAAACAAATAAATGAATTGTTTTACTCGAAACATGTAATTGTTTCCGCAGATCCACGACTGCGAAACTTAGGTAAGCGTATTGTAGCCAGATCTGATAACGAATTCAGTGATCTCGCTAAAATGTACGCTCGTCTCGGTCACGTAGTCGTAACACATCCGACAACTGATTGGAATTATCGTGATCGCCGCTATACTTTTGGGATCGCTGAAGGTATATGGGAAATGCCTCCTGGCAAATGTTTCCCTTTAGAGTCTAACTGCGATTTTTTGAATGGAATTGACTTTCATAAGGGATGCTATTTGGGGCAGGAGCTGACTGCGCGAGTATATCATACAGGCGTGGTACGCAAAAGGCATATGCCAGTACGTTTCACAGTGCCCCCGGCTGATGCTGAACGCAAAGATGTTACATCTCCAATAGGTGCCAAAGTTGGTACAATTATAGGCGCAACATCTAATCGAGCATTGGGTTTAATTCGAGTCGAGCGCGCTTTGCATTCTCGTGATCTTCAAGTCGATAGTGGTCGCTGCTACGTTGTAAAACCCAAATGGTGGCCAGAAGAAGATGCAGACAGAGTGTCGATTGTTAAGGGCAGCTAAAAAATAAATTAATCTATTCAAAGCGAAAAACTCTTTAAAACAATTTTATTTTATTTTTAACAAGTTACTTAATGTTATTGTCGGACGATTAAAAGAGAGAGAAAAAAAAAAAAAAACAAAAAGTTTTATGCATTGCAATCGTATAGATTTATTTGCCGAATATATCCGTACCCTTACAATGCATAATTCGAAAAGTAGCTGCTTATCAAAAGCCATGGCATGAATTTTCTTCGATAGGAATGCCCAGGGACTCATCGCCAGAACCGCAGCCGTCTTGTTCCAATCGAATGAAGGAAAGTGACGTGTGCAAAGACTTACTTATTGAAAACCGATCTGTGGAGCCATTGGAATTATTGGTAGAAAATGAGAATGATGAAATAGAACGTCTACAGTTACCAAACGATGTTGTAAGTGAAACGAAAAAACCGGCTGAGGAGGATGAACGTGTTGCTAAAATTGATTTTCGTTGCTATAATTGCGGTATGCGTGAAATGGTTCATTATTTTGGCAAAACACCAGCTTTTGTCAGAGGTTTGGAGTTCCGCGAATCTACATACGTATTAAGGGATCCTTTTCAACCGCCACCACCATACCGTAAATCGAAACCTGAATACTTCGTAGCCATTGGATCGCATTGTTGCGGTTGCCATAAAACGGTTTGCAAAGATAATGAATGCAGTTTTTTTTATGTCAACACATACTGTTTACCATGCGCCCGACAACAAATGCCCAATTTCCCATTGGAAATTCAGCAAAAATTACATAAACAATAAAAAAAAGCATTCATTGACTTACAATAGGAAAGTAAATATATATGTTTGATTTTTTCTTAATTAACTTTTATGAATGCTAGATAAGATGGTCTCACTTTCGTGAACAGATCCATCCACATGCAGATATGTGTAAAACGAAACGCAGACAATAAGGAAATTAAATTTACCTAACGAATGCAAACGAGCAGAAGTAAGCAGAAACTTGTCTAAAATCTGGTAAAAATATTTTATAGGATCACTAATATATTAGTTTAGAACTGATATCAAGTGATCAACAGCAACTTGCACAAGTGCTTTGTGATATTCGTAATCTGCCCTTTATACTTTTTCAGATCATTCCAAAGCACTACATGAAAAATGAGACAATGAGTGTAGTTTTCTTTAGTATGGACGGATATATCCCTAATTGCGATATCGGCTTTGCTTTATGTCATTCCATCGCTCTCGGGATAGTTCTTTTGGCTAATTTCATCATCAAGCGTGTCTTTAGTCCGTCTCCTCTTTCAAAGCGAATTCCCGTTCCTTTTGCCTACTACCACATAGTTCTTTATAGCTAACAATCGCGAGACCCCTTTGGCTTGTACTTTATTTATGCCTGCATAGGCCATTCTCCAAACATATTTAATTCCAGTATCATGCTAAATATATCAAAGGATTTTAAGCAGATACAGGCTACATATTTTCAATCTGTTTCTAAAAATATAAAATTTATAGGAGGTTTACATAATAATTCATATATGAGCCAAGAGTCACCTACCTTCACCTTGAGAAGAGAAAAAATTAAATGAAACATATGAAGAGAGTCTATATTAGTAGGAAAAATTAGGTTTCTATTTTCCATATCAATTACTTAAAAAACTGTACAAGAAATTGGTTGTAATAAGTAAAAGGAAAAATACAACATATTTGTCTTTAAAGGGTTCTTACGTTGTATAAGCATATTCAAGCGAACAATCGCATTCATAAAAGTGCACCTTTTAATTCGAAACAAAAATTGATTCCATGCTGCTATGTTCGACAGTGTCGCATGGTTATTTGAATATGAGCTAAGAGGTGATATCAAGGGAGATCAACTACCATGACACAAATATTTTCTTTTGAAGATCTTTCTCAAGACAAACATAACTACTTTTGTTTTTTTTTTTTTTCTTTTGGCGGATATATATCTGCAATTGCAATGTAACACTTCCTTCGCGTTATTTCTTCGGTATCGGAGCAATCTTTTTGGCTAATTTCAGCATTTCGTCATTAGACCTTTTCTTTTTTTGTTTTAACTTCTTCTTCATAGCGATGTCGATTTTAACACCTTTGAATTCATTTTTCTTTTGCTTAACATCAACCAGCTTGTTTGACGTAAGGTTTTTTGCTGTGGATTTTTTCGAATAATTTTTGATTTGTGTCGCGCCAGCTTCTTTTGCTTCTTGTTTATTTTTATTATATCGTTCCACATGGATGGGCCGTTCATCTAACATAGTTCCATCTAACTCTAATGCCAACCCAACTGCATCAGGGGATTTAAAGCAGACATAGGCGACGCCTTTACATCCCTTTCCGACGCCTTGCATGCAGCGAATATAATCAATTTCGCCACAACTGCTAAATATTTCACGTAAAGCATCATCGGTTGTGGCTAAGGAATCGAAAAAAAAAGAAAAAGAAAATGATCAGCTCTCCGTTAAAAAAATGTTATCACATTGCAAGCATACAATATTTTAAATTGCCGACGAAAATCGTTCGTTTCGTATTGGTAGGCGCTTTGCATAAGGTGGTTATATCGGTTCGCGTAATTCTTAGATGATTGCCTTTGAATTCAACGCCGTTTAGGGACAAGGCTTGTTCAGCTATCTCTTTGTCTTTAAGGACTATGTAAGCGTTTAATGAACCTGCTTTCTTACGTATTTTATTATTCATACACGTTTTACCGTCAGCCGTGCGGAAACGTATGGAATTGACGGGCCCATAGTCTTTGAAAACACGCAACAATTGAACTCGTTTCACGTTAACTGGTAAATTGCCTACGAAAACTGTGGCGGCTTCAACTGTAGGATCTCTTAAGCGTTTTTCTGAATCAAAAAGTTAAATTTAAAAAATTTGTCAACATTTTCCCTACACTTTACATACCCTCCTCTCTCTGTGCTTTCAACTTTTCACGTTTCTCAGCTCTCCTTTGCTTTTTTGCCAATCGTATATCAATAAGGCTTTTCGGTTTCATTCGCTTAATAATCGTTGCCTCTTTATTCTCTTCATTGTCATTTTGATCAAGCGATTCATCCATATTCACGTTCTTCTGATTTAAGATATTGGAATTTTTAATCTTGCTAGACGATTGAGATGCATTATCTTGGCCTGATGATTTGTTTAGAAGGGAAGCATTCTCCGGCTGTTGCTCTTTCAATTTCAACCTTTTCAATTCTTTCTTTCGTTTTTCGGCCAATTTTTTTGCTTTCTTCTTTTCCAAAAGTTTAATTTGATCAGCGCTAAGGTTTTCGCTTATGTCAATACCCGTTTTTTTATCTTTTATATCATCCAATTTGCCTTCATTCGCTTCAGTTTTAGGTAATTTTTTTGCTTTCTTTTTCTTAAACTTCTTCGTTTCAGTAGGATTAAGGTTTTCAATAGTCATTTTCTTAGTGTTTATATCATCCAATTTGCCTTCACTACCTTCAGTTTTGATTAATTTTTTTGCTTTCTTTTTCTTAAATTTCTTCATCCCAGCAGTATTAAGGCTTCCATTTTTATCATTAGTTGATTCCTCTTGGACGTTGTTATCTGATGTGCCAGCTTCGGTTTTCAGCTTTTTCTCAACAATTATGTTCTTCAATTCAGTGTCATCATACTTGCCTTTACTATGGTGCCATTTAGCGGCGGCGGTTTCCTTTCTTTCAATGTCGCTAGATTGTTTCTTACCGGTTCCCGTTTCACCTCTCTTTAACTGTTTCAATTTAATCTCCTTTCCCGAATTGCACATGTTCTTAGCTTCCAAGAGCTCATTTTTCACTTTCACCGAACTTAGTTGTTGTAAAGTGTTTGCACCAACTTCTTGAGGAGGTTTTTTCCTTAATTTTTCTTTTTTCTTTGTTATTTTGCCGTTCTGCAGCAATTGTTTCTCTCCTTCGTCCAATTTTAATTCATCATTTCTTGATTTTTTCATATTTCTTCTGAGTTTCAAAAATAGAATTTGCTTATGCTTCCAATCCTTTTCAAAAAGAGATAATCGATTTCAAAATCTTACGATGACACTCCAACGATATTATGACAGTTGAATACAAACAATTAACAAATGGAAAATTTATAAAATTATTTATTTTAAATAAATTCAATTCCCTTTAACTACTTTGTTGCACTTAAGATCAAATCAGTTTTTATTTTACATTTCAGCCTACGAAAAACGCCCTCGAATTCCATATTCTGGAAGGTAATCATATAAGCAGGCGACAATCGCCAAGAGAATATATTGCTAAACTTGATGGCAATTATCGCCAAATGTGCTTTGTAACTTACGTCAAATCTGGCAACAATAAAATTGAACAAATGTGTGTTAGAATACAGCATAAATTAAGTAAAGTTGCCACAAATTTCCTTTTCACAACTGCGTTTGTAAAAAGCCAGGTGCATAGGAAATTTTCTATTCACTTCATTTTGCATGCTTGTGTTGTCTATCATATCCAATTTGTTTACAATTCGTCAATGCATTGTAAAAAAAATTTGAAGGGAAGTATTACAAAGCTGATGATGACTGTATCTGATTGAACTCTTGGTGATAATCAATTGTCTCCTAAAGAAGTATTCGATAGTTATAGCGATAATTGTCTACTTACACGATTACCTTCCTCGAATCATCAATTCTAAGTTTTTGCCCCTTAAATTAAAATCCTTTTATTCCCATTTAAAAATTATTGTTCTAAGAAATGGTAACCACATCATGAGAGTGGATAGCATTGTTATATTAATTGTTAAATTCGTTTCGTGAAGACAGGCATCTTTAGAAGTCGGCGATTTAATTGTTGCATATTCAGGATTTACCTAAAAAAAAAAAAATCAGAAAAATAAATTCAGCATTTAACTCAACTAAAAAAAAGTTAATTAAATAATTAATTATCCAAAAAAATAATTTCCTCAAAGCAGCGAATCTTCTATGTTGCTGTGTTAAACTGCAGAAAAAGGAGAAGAGTTCTTGCGTCTAAGAGCTTATATCAATCAAATAGTTAATAAAAAAAAAGGTTTGTGTTTGTGTTTGTGAATATTGTTTAAACATTATTTCTTATATATTGTGTTTGTCTATATGTGGTACAGTTTTGCAAACTTCCATAAGAAGAAATAATGAATTTTTCGATTAACTGTTCGCAAAAAAAAGTTTTTTAAATATTTCTTATATATTGTGTTTGTCTATTTGTGGTACAGTTCTTCAAACTTCCATAAGAAGAAATAATGAATTTTAAAGAAATCGAATAACTGTTTCGATTAACTGTGCGCAAAAAAAAAAAAAAAATTTTTTAATATACATACATATACGGTCAAGGAAAAAAAAAATAGAATAATAAAAGAGAACTTGCGAAATAAAAGGTGATTCACATCGCGTACACCCATTTTGACAAGTTTTTTTTTAATTGCTTTCAATTTGTTTTCTTGTTGCAAAAGGAATTTTGCCAGAAAACATGCAAAATTTATCAAAAAAAAATTTTTAATAAAATTTATTAGGAAATATAGGTGAAAATATAGAAAAAAAGATTGTCAAAAGAGGGATTGCCGACAAAAGAAAAAAGGAAACGAAAAACTTAACGAACGTAAAAAATTGTAACGAACGATTTGCTGCGCAGGATTTGAGAGACGCTAATAACTTTAAACAAAGAGAAATATAGATATATATAGAGAAAAAAAAAAGAGAGAAGGATTTAAATATTGTGCAGGTAAAAGAACAGAAGAAGGCTACAAATCAATTAAAGTTTTTCAGTGCGTGCATAACCTGAAAATGGATCACGAGGATACACTTGAATATATCCAAAATAATTCGCAATATTATAGAAATATGGAGAATAGAAATATGCCGCAGCAATTAAATGTTGCCGGCTGTGGGGCTGACGGAGTTAGCGATGTCGGTGGTAAGTACGAAGACATCGAAGAGCATGATGCCGGTGATGACAATGAGTGGAAATACGTTACAGAGGTGCAGCAGAGCGAAAAGCAGCAATCTTTAAAAGTTTTCGGTAGCGATGATTTAGCAGAAAAAGTTAATGCTGCTTCAAGCCCACATTTGTTTGGCAATAGTGATGACAGCGATGGTATTGTCGATGCCGGTAACAATTTTGTATTTGGCAATGGCAACGCAAATGGCGTCAACGTCGACACCTACGAAACGCAGCAGGCGTACGAAAATGAGGAAGATATGATGATGGGTAATGGTGTGTCGTCTTCTTTGGGTGTGTACGATGAGAAACCCTTGGCTTCGGACGTTGACGTGGAAATTTTTACAAACGATGGTGAATTTTCAACCACATCTAACGTGACTGATTCTGTGCAAGATAATGTGCCACAGGTTGATGTTAAAATTGAAGCATCTTTGCAAGATTATTCGCAGCAGCCAGATTTAGCTGAAGAAGAAGAGCCCAGTACTACAAATGGCACCAGCAGCCTTAGCGAAAATCCACAGCAACCACTGGCGGAACAATTAAATACATATGATACGATGTCGGCCCTAGAGGATAAAGAAAACGCCGATCCTTCGACAAAGAGATTGTCAGTTGGTGAGCGTATTTCTCCTCCTCAACTGCTTTCACTCGAACAAAACGCATCACAACTTAATCCAGATGCCAAAGAATTTGTTCCTAATTTTGGTTCTAATCCAGCTTCACCCACTTCACCTTTGTCTGGAGCAAATCAAATAGTTTTTGGTCTACATTCATTTGGGACCATTACACCTCGTCAACTAATAGTTGATGATGATTTCGTTGCCGCAAGTCCACGCAAAACTGCCGATATGAATATGGACGCCATATCCCCGCCTATAGAATTAGCCGAGTTCAAACAAGAAGCTGCTCAACGCCCTCATGAACTCGAACAAGATGATAACGAAATTAACGATGATAGCATGTCCGATGAAGGAGATCAGCAACTACCCTTTGATAATCCAAAGGCGATCTCGTCACCTTTTGATTTGATTGACGATGGTCCAGAAACCTGTGTTGATCTTGAAATTAACACCGATTCGAAACCATTTGATGAACTGAGTGAAGTTCCTCAACAAATGGACGATGATGTTATGAAACGTTCTGTGTATGTGGTGAACAGTGACCAGCGCATAGAAGATATTTTGAATTCTGTTCAACCATTACCAACTGACACTGAAAGTTCCAATAATTCGTTCATTGAAGAAAATGCAACGGAGACCATTAATGTAGGGGATAAGGAATTATTACAAATTGAAGAGAAAGAGCATGTGTCGCATTCGCCCTCTACTGAGGAAATGCATATAAATATTATTACTGGCGAAGGCAAGGCAATCGATGACGGTCACAAAGTGGCGGATATCAGTAATGTTGTTGTCACTTTGCCAGAAAACATTAACGTGGAAAATGATAGTTTAAAGGAATCAGATGAATTGCTATCAGTATTATCCAAGACAAATCTACCAATTAGCATCGAAAATGCTTTCGTAAGCAACAATGATTTTATGACTGAAATAGTTGACGAATGTATCACACCGACTAAGTGTAATGAATTGGAAAATGAGAAGATAATAATCGCTAAGTGTAATGAATTGGAAAATGAGAAGACTACAGTCGTTTGCGAAGATAATTTAAACGTGCAAGAAATGGTTAGCAGCAGTCCATTATCATTAGCCCAAGAGAAACATTTAGTCGAAGAAACTAAAGAATCCCAAGCGATAATGGAAATGGAAAATGAGATGGCGGCTCTTACGCAGCAAATGACTGAGATGATTTTAATTCCAAGCAACGATGGCCACTTTTCGGAGGTAAGTCCATTGTCACTTTACTTTTATTTTCACTTTTATTTTCAATTTCACTTATTCTCTTAAAATTGTTGTTGTTTCATTAAAATTTCCAAATCCATTTCAAATCCAAGTAATGATGTATGTGTAATACCGAACAACAGAATGATTTTTTTTTTTTAAAAACATTTTTTTTGAATTGAATTGATTGCGTTCTTCTTGTCATTTCAATTAGAGTCGACAATTCGCTGACAGTTTCCTACTTTGCTTGCTTGCTTTGTACGAATTTTGCCGTTTTAGCCAGGCATGGGCAATCGTCTGATGAGATCAGGGCTTTTCAAAAAAAAAAAAACAAAATTATGAAAGCATACCTGCTTACCTGCGCCAAAGTTAAAAAAGACTTTAATATAAATTAAACGTTAATTTTCATATCATTTTCTAAACTATATTTTCATTTTATCGCGTTAGATAACCGAAATTTTATTGGTTGTGTGTGGGGGACCTTTATTGGATTTCTCTGTTTTTTTTCTAGTTTTCTTCCTTGTGTGTGTAGATATATTTATGTAATTTCAATTTGAATTTATTAAGAGCGTAAAGTGGTTCATTATAATTTGATCACATTTTTTTTTTTTTTTTTTTGTAATAAAAACATGGGGGTGAGATTGCCATTGCTGCAATAGTAAAAGCTTCAGGCAGATGTTACGAATGACGTTTTTGGTTTTTTATATATTTTAAGCAATATTCGTTGACCTTGATGCCGATGAGATTATTATTTAATTGTAAAATTCTATAAATATAAATATAAATATGTACTGACAAAAGTCATATATAGATAGACAGACATTGGCAATGAGTGAGTGGCAATGGCAGTGAGAAGGAAAACATTTTCTTTCTAATGATTCAAATATTTCTAAAAGATATAAAATTTATTTTCTCTTCTTCTTGTTGTTGTTGTTTTGTGTGTTACAAAGTTGTTTCCTAAACATTTTCCGTCTCTTCACTTGTTTTCACTCAATCCAATCGTTAGTACGTGAGGGCATGCATAATTTTAATAAAATAATTTTATTTTTTTTTTTTTTTAGTTTTTTATTTATTTACTTTTGTTTTCTTATTTTACTGCTTTTTCTTTTAATGTGTCACGCATTAATCGTACAATGAATGCAATCATAAGTAGTTTTAACTTGTTCATCACCCTTTGTCGCCAACTCTCTTTTTCCCCCCACCCGATAATACTTTTTGTTTGTTTGTTGTGTGTGATAGGTTTTTCAAGTTTTCATTTTACAGTTTAGTTTCAGATAAGAAATATTGCATTTAAATCTGTAATCAGATTGCTTTAGTATAATTTACATATGTTACACACGAACAAGCCCATACACGCACACAAACATACACGTGAGTAAAGTAAGAAAATCTATTTATGTAAAATGCTCTGGACAATAGGGTTCATTTAATTGGGTCATACAAAGCTATCAGACTTCCTGTGAATAAAAAAAAAAAAAAAAAAAAAAAAGTAAATTTTCAGTTTCATAAAGCATGCACATGCATGTTTTCTTCTATACGCATCACAGAGTGATATTCAGCTTGTCTAACGTTTGTAACATTGGCGATACGCATCACATGTACATACATATGCCTGATATATCGTGCAAATTTGGAATAATTCTTATAGGCCAAGACTTGCAAAACTGTTTTTAATTAAATGCTATAAATAACATGATTGTACCTTACACCACCTGTGGTGCAGTAAGTTAGTGCGGTCGTATGTAACACCCACAAGAGCTTAAGATAGAAGCAACTTTTATTATAGCGATTGATTCCGAATCATAATCTGAATTGATCTAAGCTTGTCTGTCCGTCTGATATCTGCCCATGTAAGCTTGTGTTCAAGCTATACGCAGCAATTTTTGAAATAATTTGTTGATCAAGGACCAACGCTATTGAAAATGGTTGGGATCAGTTCACTTTTTCAACTACTCCTCATATAACGGACTGTTCTAAAAAGTAGTTATATGGGAAAAAATTGCAAATTTTCAAAATTTCTCGGCAAAAATGGCTTAGTAGTAGTATTTCGGCATTTGAAATTGGTTTGAAAATTTTGGACCGGCTGGCGCAATTTTTGAACCAAATCTCAAATATATAGAAATCTAAAGTTCATACGACCAGAAGATAGAATTTTCAATGATTTCATCAAATTTAACATAAAAAAAATTAATCTGCACCAAATTGGGACTATCTCGGCTTATTTTTTCGACCTTGACCCTTTCACGAATGTTGAACCTTTGTAGAGCAGAAAAATCTAAGTTATGTGATATGTGATGATTAAAATTTGCCCATAAGAGTAATTTCATACAAATTAATTAAAAATAATTAATTGTGTTAAACAAGGTGGCAGAGGGTATTGTATGGTTAGACTTTCCGGACTATAATCTTACCCTTTTTTTTTTTGGGAATATTATGTTCATAAAGTTGTCTTGTTTTGATTATAAAAACTATTTAATAGAAAGTTTGCAAATTGCAAAGAGTAAAGAAAAATTAGAAAATCCTTAGTAGGGTATCAATTTATTAGATCTAAATCGAATCTTCTTCTGTCTCGTTTTTCATTACTATTTATTGATTTTATAACAAAATATGTTTCTGTTAAAAGTAATTTTATATATATGAAAAAAAATAAAAAAATAAAAAAATAAGGAAACAACAAAATTAATAAACAAACACACAAAAGCAGAAACATATGGTTTTTTTTTTTTTTTTTTTTTTTTTTTTTTTTTTTTTTTTTTTTTCTAAATCGTAAACATTATACAATGCCATATAGTTTATCAATGTTTGTTTATGCGTCTATTTAAGTGGTTGTTTGCAAAACTGTAAATTATTGCTTTTAATGTTGTGTTATATGTATGTATAAAGGTAGCCACCTATTAGTTTTTATGTCTATGCGAAAATAATAATAAATTTTAAGTGTGTGTTCATTACATATATATAGCGCCTGGTATGAGTAAATTGCAAAAGTTTACGACCTCTCTTTAATCTACTTTATCATCTATGATCTCTTTATTATACTTATCGCAAATTGTTGAACCAATATTTAAAAGATTTATTAATCTTCCCTTGGTATTAAAAATTGTTCTGATAATTGCATTAGCTAGGTATAGTTAAACGTGGCTATCAATCAATGGACCGAAAAACAATTTTTATAAAATGACGACTTGACAATGACTTGACTGCGCGGGCGGGAACAATTAAAAGTGCCGCGTACACCTATTTTTATTAGTCATTCCGTCAGTCATACTAAGTTGGCTAGGGCTGGTAGATTTGATTTGTCAGTAAGTAAGTACTTTCTCAAGCCTGCTTAAAAAAATATAGGGAGCCTTGAGAAAATTCGTAGCCTCCGACTTGAGGGAAAAAAATGCTCAACTTTCGTCATTGTTAGCGCAATTCTCTTGCATATTACTTTTCTCCCCAGAGAAACTATTAGCTCCGAATGTTATGAGGGGCAAAACAAGACATTTAATTAATTTTAATTTGGTGAAGATTGCCGTAAAAGATGAGGAGAGTCATAGTTTTCGGAAAATGTTGTGAATACGCATAACTGTGTAATTAAAATACCGCTTCCCCCGTCAAGTGAGAGTTGAGCTAACACACTCAACACACTTATCGATCTGTGGGCGATATTACAATGATTTTGTTTTTGCTTGAATTAAACTTTAAACCGTTAAAGTCAGACCACAGATCATCATTTGTTCGCTGCAACGGGCGCGAGTGGTAAATTTGTGCCTCATCAGTATATAAGTGAATGCTACAATCCTGACAGCAAGGAACTAAGCCATTTATGAAAACCCTGCATATGATTCGTCACAAAACGGGTCCTTCAGGGACATCAGATGTAATAAGCCCGAGTTGCGAAGAAACCTCGCCAACTTTCACAGGTTGAAGCCGATTTCTCAAACCGGGACTTAATTACGGACGAACTGAAGCCATAATAAATGTCAAGCTTTTGCAATAACTTCATCCTCGCTGAAGACTCTAAATTGAAAAGTTACACCGTGCCGACGTATAACCTCCCGGTTCACAAGCAGGAAATAGTTGCTACACCCAGGGTTGCATTTGATCATTCAATGCTTCAGAGTTAACTTCACTTCACCGTCGGAATCCTTCTAAAGTCTATTTCCTGGAGATTCTTTCAAAGCACTTTAGAAGGAAAATTAACATTTATTTTCTTATTAAAGTCGTTTCATGCCACTATATCTGCACTTACGGAGCACCTTCCAACTAATCGCATTAGATCAGTTTTTCCATTCATACATTTCTGCACAATTTCGTAAAGACTATAAAATCCGATGATTTGCTTCTTTTTTTCTCAATTCGTTTATAAATCATGTAAGGGAACGATTATGGTAAACAAATGGCACAAGCGCCTGTAAGAGTCCCCTAAAAAAAAATTCTGAATGCTAACGAAATTTGTACTGTTTCATAACCTCAACCTGCGCGATATAACCTCAAAAAAAAAAGAAAAAAATCCAAGCAAAGTGAGAGAGAGAGCGAGTTTTTTGTCGGAAACCGCAATCAGTTTGAACTTTGACATGAATAAAGACTGTCATCCGGATGTCTAGAGTTGAAGTTAAATCTATGCATTTTTTTTGCTTTATCGTCCATGATTCGCTTCAATACTTTTATAGTATTTTTTTTATTTTTTTTTATTTTATGATATTTACATTATACACTGGCATATAATTGACCTCTTTTTTAATTTCTGTTGCTTTGTTATAGATGACAACTGTTTACTGCGCTCCACCACGCACTTATTTTCCATTTTTTTGTTTTTTTTTTTTTTTTGCTACATTGGGCGTTAAATAAACTCAGTTAATTTTCTGTTACTTAAGAGACAAACCGAGTAACTGGACAAAAATGCACTTTTTTAAACTAAGGTATAAAGTATTAGTTTCGATTACCATTAATTTATATCGACGTGTATATGTGTAAGAAGCGGCGGGTAACAAGTGAACGTGAATCGTATTTAATATGTGAAA